GCCTGATCGGGCAAAATCAATCTGGCCTGAACGAGCAATATTGTCAAATTGGGCAAGAAATTGCGCAAAATTAAGCTATGTTTGCTATTCATCTCTGCCATAAAAGAGAAAGAAGGTTGAACACTTAACTTTAATATACGGTGAATAATCAGTGCACGAGGAGTGGAATGAGCACTTCCGTCCATTAGACGACTGATGGTTCTCGAGATCAGACCTTCCCCGAATGGGCAAGTTGCCTGTTTAGGCAATATTGCCCGATCGGGCAAGTGACAACGGACTGACCGGATACTGTTTAAAAAATAGTCAAGTTACTGCAAGGCTGAATAGTGAAAGTTAGACCTAATTTGCCACAATCAACGTAAACTCACGATGATACTAGCGAATTACTCTCAGTCCTAGCGTATCTTGATCAAAAACATGATGTTTTATGTGATGGAATGTGATTGGAGTTTAAAAAATAAGAAAGATAATATCAATATATTGATAACAAAATGACAGTATTTTAAAAAAGAACTTGAGAAGAAAAGAGGAGAAAATGAAACACAGTGTGAACTTGACACTTGTCGAGGAGATCAGTTTCGCGAATGTGAGAAAAAATATCTACTTTTCATTTGGAAACAGAGTTAGACCATGAGAAAATTTCATACTTTAACGGAATTGCCGTGAACTGGTGGATGAGGTAGCTGTGTAAAAATGTCGAGTGCTATTTTTCCATTTTGTTGATATTCTCGAGATTCTACTTTATTTAAGTTGTGAACTAAAAAGCGTACATCACACAAATATTTCTCTCACAAAATTTCTCTAAAACTAATCTTCAAGAACTGGACGTTACTACAAACATGACATACCAAAGAGACTGTTTGTCAGTCTCACAAAAATAATCACTTTCTTCTGTAACTAAATAGATGAAGAATTAGCTTGTGAAGAGCCCGATTGATTTGATCTTCCTAAAAAATGATCTCGTCTAGCTTACTAGATGTGTCGGTTTTTCAAAATGAATTTTCCACATTGATTGTAGAAAATCGAACGGAGATTCAAGTTTTGGGTTAAAATCTTGAAAAGATTCATCTGTTAGTTCAAAATTGCTAACTAATGATAATCGATTGAGTTTTTAACGATGATCAGACAAAGATTACTTCTCCATGAAAACTGTACAAGACTCAAACGTATTGGATACCGTTCTAAAGAGAGTCTGAAACCCTCTTAGATGGAATAATCAATCATTCGTCGAACGTATTTTTAAACGAGATAACACCATTTCGAAGAAGATAGGATCACTTGGGAAAACGATGTTCGTCACTAAAAGAATAATCTTCATATTTTGGTTAAAAGTCGGTAATACCAGAAATTTGCATTAATCCATAGAAAAATGTTCACCTTACCAAGCTATGAAATTTTTTTGTTTTTACCTTGAAGAATGGATGAGTCATAAGCAATAGCCTTTGGTATATCACGTTGCACGAACATTTGTAGTAATGTTCAGTTCTTGAAGATTATTTTCAGAGAAATTTTGTGAGAGAAATATTTGTGATGTACGCTTTGTAGTTCACAACTTACTCTTTCAAATAAAAAAAGTAGAATTACATAAGGAAAAACGTTAAAGATTAAACCTAATAACCATGCACATGTCAGCTAAAGACATGAGGAATGCACAGGTGGATCGTAAGCCATAGATAATTTTCAGATACTATAGCTATATGAGCTAAAAGTTATGCGTATTTAAGGGTACCCCTTCCCCCCTCTTTTTTGCAGAAAAGTTTTCATTTTGAGTTGAACATAGTCTAATGTAGAGGAAAGTCTTGGCTATAAAATGAGACTACTCCCAGCTCTTCATGACCTTCCTTACCCATTGGACACAAATTCGTTCGCCCCTTTCTTAAAAGTCACACCTTCATGATAAAATCTACGAAAATGTATTTTTATAGAGAAATAGTGTTTATAGAAGAGATATTTTATTAGAACAACTTTTATATACGCCCATGTTATAGAGCAACTTAAAAAGCAGATACCTGCATATTTTTGTATTGTTGCTTTCTCTATTAATTAATTAACAAATATTCATATTTTCTCAAGCGTAAGCATCTACGTTTTGCTATAGTAGGAGTGAAATTTTAATTTTCACTGTAATATCCACATAAACTTTTAAGAAATAAAGCAATTTTGCTAATGAATGTACAGATAATGATTTGGTACCAAAGTTTTTGGTTTCGTACTTTTTTTGGTACGATTGTGGTACGTAAAAGGCACGTACCGTTTTGCTATGAACCTGGTACATACCATATTAGTACCGTACCATCGAAATCTGGTATATACCGAGTATGGATGGTACGTTACCATTGGTACGTACCTGGTACGTACCATTCATACCATGACCAGCCGAACCCGGTATGGTACAAGAAACTTTGATACGTGATTGGTTTTTATAGTTTCGCACCGTACATTTTTTTATCTGGGTGACGTTTAAAGGAGATTATGCACGATATTATTCTATCAGCTGAAACTTGTGTTTACAAAAATAATTGCGTTTACAGAAATCTGATTTGCTTAAATCACTTTTGCACACGCCATGAGTACTCTTGAATAATGTTCATATATCGGTCGTTCAATCAACTGTTTTGGATTAAAGTTATTAAGTCTATAATCAATGAATCAGAACAGTCTAATGTTGTGTTCTCTAATCTTTATCATAATAAAGCTTGAGATTTATATACAAAAGATTACGAGACTTATGCTTTCGAAATATGAAGAGAAAGCAAAACAAAAAACAACTAGTCAAGGTTTCAAGTGTACACACATGGCTCTTCCCAATAATTTTCGATCACCATGCGTTATGCTCATGCTCGAGTCATACTTGTTTTTCTGTTTGATTTGCACAAGGGATTCGGTCTCTAGATATGCGTACAAAAAATGCAGATTAAAATTTTAGAGGTCCAATATTACTAGATGTAAACTCTCCCATAAGTACTATGAAATCACCCAACCGAATGATTTTTCCTTTCTTCTGATAGCTGCCACAGTGCCCAAAAAGGTGTGAGGATACTTCTAACTATAGAAGACACTGTATTCATACTATACTCCTCTACAAATAATAAAATAAATCTATTTTTTTGCTAATGAAAAAGGAGAAAAGAACACTTTGAATCAGGTATTGCAATTGACTATATTAGCCGAATTTTTCAAAATTTTAAGTTGAAAATCAGCGTAGAGCAGACTATAGGATATTTTCAGTCAATTCATAATCTTTTTAGAAATACAATCTGATATAGTCCAGTCTCTATAGTTGTACACAGTCCGTCTTTCCTACTATGAATAATGCAAACTCCAAGTCGAATTGGGAGATTTTGAAAAATGTTCTCGCTTTTATCGAAAAATTAAAGTCTGAAACAAAATTCGACAATTAGATTGCACAAAAGTGGACTAAAATTTATTTTGGACACGGTTTTTCCTCGATTGTAGGCACGAAAATATTTGAAAAAAATAAAATATAATTGAATTAAAAATTATTTTGAGCGCAGTTTTTGTATGTAGCACGTATGCATGATGACTCACTGTTTTTGAACCGTTCTCTATACAATGCCTCTTTCTGCGTTTTTCTACCATGCTGTATTTTAAAATTATATGATAATTTCTTCTTCTTAAAAAATTACCATGACTGGCCAAAACTGGAGCTTGGTGACTACTCTAACATCGAAGGATGATTTCGATCTGTATATTGAAAAGAATAGTGTGTGGATCCAAAGTGTCGAGAAAAATCAGATATTGGTGCGGATACTCACATGTAGATCGTTCATTTCTCTTGTCCTCAAATTAATTGTGGTATACGGTTACAGCAATTCAAGTCTTACCCTTACAAACATTTGATCAGTTGTCAGTTGGTTATATTCAGTCAGACTAGTGACAATGACAATGGTCTGCTCGTAAATAAATTTAAAAGAATATGTGTGCAAAAATGCGCCTGGTCCGATGATGAATTTTGGTTAGTTTTCAGTGGCAAATTCAGCAAGGCTCCAAGATTTGAATAAAAGACGGCCAAGAGGACGACCACAAAAGGCCAGATCAGTTTTGTCTCAGTGGCAACTATTTTTGTTTGTGTACACGGTATTAAATGTAAATTAACTCTAAAGAATTCAGTAATATTTTATAGCCGTCCGCAAATCAAAACAGAAGTTGTGCCTAAAATAGTAAGAAAATTTTTCGGCATGGAAAACTACTAACCGTGCCCAAAAGGCACTTATTTCCGCAAGTTTCTCTAAGTAAGTGTTCTGCTTCTTTTTGGAAATTGAATTGAACGTATACCCACGTCATCGAAAAACAGACATTTAACTGTATGTACTTGAAACTGAAATTTACATGGACCATTAACACATCGTTTTGAACAGGCAATACGTCAACAAAAAACTAGCATTTAACGTTGACAGGTGAATGTCAGTTTTTAACCATTTATCAACAAATCATTTACCCTTTTGTTCATCACTCACATAAATTTGCCTCGGATTCACTTAAAAAAACTTCGACGCTTCTTCGATTATACAAGTCATGGGAACTTGTCTGGAGGAGACAGTATTTAGTTCTGGGACAGACACTTGTGCTGATACCATGAACCAAAGAACCAAAATATATTGAAATTGATGAGTTCAGTCTTTTTGAATCCAGAAAGAACCTCATTTTAGAAGACGTCCGAAAAATAGGTCGTTAACGGCTCGTAACGGCGGAATAATGGCTTCAGAATGGGCGTCATAAAGTGTCCGTTTAACAAACGTTTGACACGTTCTTTAACGGACATTTAATAGACGATTAATTACACCATTTTCGATGATCTGGATATAATAAAACTAGGAAGAATTAGACCCGAAATTCCCTATTTCTGTTGTCTTATTGGAAAAGTATTACACCTCGCTGTTTTTCTTTTAGAAAAATATTATTTAATTTTAATTTTGAATTGATCAACAATGGTGGTGCTATTTGAAGATCCTCATTCCACTGCTTTAGGAACATTCCTTATGCAAGTATTTATCACACTAATCGTTTGTAAATTATTAGCCAAACTGCTATCGTTTATTCGTCAACCACAAGTTATTGGACAAATTATTACCGGTATTATCTTCGGACCATCAGTGTTAGGCTATGCGCCCGGCTGGACAAATGCCATATTTCCAAAATCAAGTTTAACGTCATTTCAACTGATTGCTAATTTGGGTCTGATCTTTTTCATGTTTTTCCTTGGTCTAGAATTGGAATTAGACCAAATTAAAAAAAATTGGAGGTTCACGTTGCCAGTTGTCTGCACAAGTATATTAATACCGGTGGGAGTAGGATGTGCTGCTAGCCTATGGTTATATGATATGAATGGGCCAACGACCAGTAAAGCCTCGTTTATACTATTTATAGGTAGATAAAGAAAGAGTAAACTGAACAGTATTTCCTGTGTGTTCTGGTATATATTTTTTGTTTCGTGTCATTTTAGGTAGTGGAATTGGTTTTTCAGCATTTCCTGTATTAGCCTCGTTGCTTAACAATCTTGGTTTATTAACAAAACCTATCGGTGTTCAAACAATTTCTTTAGCTGCTGTTGAAGATATTGCTGTATGGGTCATATTAGCTGTGGCTAGCGCATTTAGTAATGGTGGTAGTGCACTACAAGGTCTCTACACTCTTTTACTGACATTGGCATTTATTATCATTATGGCACTCATTATTCGTCCTATACTTGGGCGAATACATTCGTATTATTTGAAACGAGACAATGAGACTAATATTTATTTAGTTGTCGGATGTTTTATGTTATTGGTCGTCGCTGCATTTACCACCGAAGTTATGGGTATTCATGCATTTTTTGGTGCATTCATAGCTGGTCTCTGTATTCCGCGTAAAGGAACATTGACAGATTTCCTTGCATTGAGAATTGAATTAATTATTGTGGAATTTTTTCTACCATTGTATTTTTGTAATTCTGGTCTACAAACACAATTGAATCTGTTGGATAATGGTACGTCATGGTGGACACTCGTTGTTCTCGTTCTTTTAGCGTCGACAGCTAAAATCGTGCCCGTTTCAATCGCAACAAAATTTGCTACCAAACAACCGTGGGAATATTGTTTGTCTGTGGGAGTGTTGATGAACACCCGAGGTATTGTACAACTGGTTGTACTCAATATCGGTGTACAATTAAAAGTATTATCACCGAAAATATTCGCCATTTTTGTTTTAATGGCAACATTAATGACAATGATGACGTCACCTCTCTTATATTTGTTGTACAAACGGCGTTATGAACCGAAAGAAACGATGCACATGGCCGAAGAACTAGCTCTTGTGAAGAAAGCTGCAGAGGACAGCATTAGTTTCATTCAAGGCAGTACACCCGACATGGATGCAGGACAGAGAAAAGCCACGGCAACCTCTTTTGATACATACGTTGCCTTCGGTAATGTAACTCTGGGTTCACCTGTTTTGGATCCACGTTCGAGTGGCACACAACCTGCGGTTATTGGAAAAATTGTACAAATGCCGGTGTGCCCGGGCAGATCGATTTATATGACAAGGTTTTAAGGTGTTAACAAAAAAGTAGTTCATATACATAGTTTCCTGAACATTTTTTTTTTCTATTTCAAACCTGCCGTGTACAAAAAAGAGACAAAAGATGTGATCAAACTCTGCAAGAATTTGCTAATTCTTGTTAAAATAATTACTACAGCACTATGAAAATTATAGACTCTTCTAGTCTATAAGTTTAGTTCACTAGATAAAAAGTTTTTTCAAAAAGACGGTCTCAGTAGAATATGAGCGTTATAGAAGCATTTTCACTGTTGAAAGAATGAATGGCACTTGTACACCCCTTTCTGTTCCGAATGAACTTAGAGACAACATCCTCTTTTCGGAAGCTAAAAATTTTGTTTTTAAAAATCGAGTTTAACATGTTCCTATACAGAGTCAAGTATCTTCACCTTAAAATAAGAGTTATTTCTTTTGTCAAATATGTTTCTTCAGAAAGTTATGAAATTTTCAAAATGTTTAGTAAGAACTCAATAATTCACCAGGTTTCACCTTTTTAATTATTTTGTACTTACAAAAAAGACAAAGTTTCTTAAACTAAACTGTGTAATTGCCCAAACTGTTTTTTTAAATGAGATGTCTCCTATCTCCGAAGAACGCTCGATTAAAAAATGACGGCCACTCATCGGATCTGGAATATCTATAGGTATTGAGGCACTCTTCTCACGAGTAGCACAGAGCGTCGAAAGTTACACATCTTCCACCAAAAAATGTAGTGTTTATCCTCAACGCGTAAAATCATTTTCGACTCTAGGTGTTAGCCGTGCCGCTGTCGCCGCCGAAAAAGAATGTTATAATTTCACGTCGCCGCCATAGACGGAATTTGTTTTTGAAGTTTTTCGCCACCACTCACCCAAAATTTTTTCAAAACTTCTTCGAAGAAAATTTATTGAAAATTATAACTTTTTTTAGTTTTTCGCCGCCGTCGCCGATGAAATAATCGGCTAACACCTCTATTTATATTTTCGACCCATCTACTTTGAGCTGCACATAAACATTTTGCAACTGCCATAGCGAACGCAACACAAAAGGAAACTTCGCAAAACTAATAATCAAATAAATCGACTTTGATGCTAGTTCAAATACTGCAAGAACGAAATCCATAACTCTCTTCGTTTTGTCTGATTGGACTACGTTGGCACTCACAAAAATATAAACTACAAAAGTCACTAGCTCTCACATCTGACCAGAAACTTTTTCTATAGCAGCTTTTTTAGAGAACTGCATAAGACCCAAACTATGTAGATGGAGAGTAAGAGACTAATTGAACTTTGATTCATGTTCAATATGAAGAAAAATATTTTTGTTTATTGAAAAAGTTCCTGGTCAGCTGTGAGAGCTGGTGATCTTTGTACTTTATATCCTAGTGAATGCCAAGGTAGTCCAACCAAACAAAACGCAGAGAGTTGTGGAGTTCGTTCTTGTATCATTCGAACAAGCATCGAAGCCTATTACCTTTAAGGCGACATCTCGCAAACCCCTTCACTTTTATTGACCGATTTTTCTAGCAAGTAAAGCAATCGAAGTCAATACTAGCCAATTAGATGTTTTTCCTTTCTTATTCGACGATCAGTTCCGTTCCGTTGTTTCCTTTTATCCCAAATAGTAGCTCCAAGGAGTCAGGATCAATGCGAATTTATATGGATAGTCTCCCTTGGAGCTAGTATTTGAGGCCAAAAGAAACAACGGACTAGTTCGATACGAAAAATTGACAGTTTGCTGGAAACGAGCCTATACTACTTTACTTTTTTTTATTTCAATGGTTTATATTTTTTATTCGGCTGCAGTAGTTTGAATTGTTTACAACGAGAATATTTTAGAATATAAGGTAATAGAAGGATAGGGTAGTATGATAGATCTGTGCTTCAATTTTGTTCTACTTAACTGAGTAGTATGGCTACATCTAACTGAAAAATATGCTGGAAGTGTGTTAATTCTCGCAATATATAGGCATAATTCAATTTGCATTAAAGTAAACTAATGATTTTTTTTCACACTAACTTCCTTATAGTCTGAAAGATCTCGCCTGGAAGGAGTTTTGATTCCACCTAAATTTTGTCCACTGAATTTTATTTTTGCATGATATGACTGACTTAATATATCTTATTCTTCGAGACATCAAGTTTGTGAAAAAATTAAAAAGTTGGATCCGATTTATCCCCAACAAGAGTCTATGATTGAGTCTGTATCACTTTAGCAGTAAATATCAACAAGTTCAAATCAGTGTTTTTAATGATTAGTGGGTCTCGCTTGACCAAAATGGGTTTCCACTTTGAAAATTCGATTTCCACTTTGTTTTAGCAGGGAAAACATGGACAATGTAGTGGTAAATTGGGGAAACACACTTTGCTTAAAATTCCTATTAAAAACACTGAGCTCAAATATTCTCTGGAAAAATGACCATGAAACATAAATAAACCGGTTGATACTTTATGGTTACAAATCTGTATATCTGTATCAATGAACAAAAGACATTTTCACAAAGTATAATTGTCATGATTATGATCGAGCATTGTAAGAAACAGAAGAGTCGAAAAATGTACTATTGAAACATCCGAAGAAGGTTCCCATAGTTTTCGTAGATCTTACTTTATCTGAATGGAAAACAAAATTTTCTGAATGGAAGTGAAAATTTACGAATATGCAAAGATTGTCAAAAAATTCTCAGCATTAATAACACAAATTACTCAACAAAAGTTTCGTCTTCATGATACGCATAGATATCATTTAATCGAAAATGGTTAATGTGAATGCAACAGATGATGATAGATTTGGCAACAATTTACACTGGAGGAAATCTCATGAAAATTTCTCTCATTGCAAAAAAGTTTATTTATTCTTCCAGCATCTATTATGTATTTTTACTAAACTTGTTTCATTTTCTTTTTCTCAGAGTTCAGTTTACACTATTTTATAGACTTTGTTGAACATATACACTTTTATTCTATTCGTTTTAGATGAGTGAACTGAAATTAACTGGCGAAGTTAGTAAAATCGATAAAAGTATCGATCGTATGCATACCTGTCCATTATTGTTACGAGTATTTTGTAGTAATCATAGACATCATATATCAAGGTAAACATTTTTCTCTAGTTGCCCATACTGCAAATCTGAGGAGTTCTGTATTTAATGAAGAAATTGTAATGGAAACAAATAAAAAAAAAAAAATTTAAAAGCTGTCATTATTGGAATTCATATGTTCTTGAACTATTTTATCTTCCTGTTATAGTGAATATGAACAAGGTAACACGCCTGAGAATGAACTTCAAATATATACGTGGATGGATGCCACACTATCTGAATTGACATCATTAATTAAAGAAGTCAATCCTGATGCCCGACGTAAAGGTACACAGTTTTCGTTTTCAATCGTTTATCCAGAAGAACATTATCAACGTTATCGTATACAAGAAATTGGTGTCACTGAACAAGGAGTTAAACGGTCAGACGATAATATTCCATTGTCAGCTAAACGATTTACTGTCGGCGATTATTTAGGTAAGACTATCGAAAACAACATTTTAAGTATATTTTGATAAAATAAAGTATAACGAGACTATTGGATATTCTGTTCTATTTAGATGTTGCTATTATTCATGGCGGTGGGAATGATCGACGAATACATAACAATAATAGTAATAATAATTCACGCGATGAAACAAATAATCGAGATGGAATGGGACGCGGTAGTGGCTATCGCGGCGGGAGAGGTAATCGTGGAATCATGAACGATCGAGATCGTGATAATGTTGGCAACAATAGTAATGATCGATCGGAACGACAACGCGATAGAGGCGATGAACGAAGTGGCGTTGGGCCAATGATGAGACAACCGAAAGATCATCGAGATCGGCCTTATTAATGTATGTGTGTGTGTGTGTGTGTATGTTTATATGAAATAAAAGCAAATATTTGTTGAAAGCGTCATCGCTCTATCTGTTGAGTACATGTTTCTCTACTACCACTGTGTTTACTTAGAATTTTTTACACCGTGTTCTTTTGCTTTCTTGTACGTATGTAAGAATGTATTTATGTTGTTTTAAATATACATAAATCAATTTTTTTTACAAAAAAACAGTTTTTCATGCTAATACTTGTCAAGGCATGTTCGATCGCAGACACTTCTTCAATTAGATTCCCTCTGATCTATTCTGTTTTGATCAAAAGAAAAGACTAAGAGTAAATATTTTTGTTTCTCACTTCAAATATCTGTTTTTGATATAACTATTGATAATCTATCGTGTAAAAGCCAGAAATCAGAGATTATAAATCCGTCCGAAAAAAGATTTTGATTTTTTTTGTATGAATGACTGAACGCAAAATAAAAAGTCTCGAAAAAAAATTGACGTACTTTGTGCGAGGTACGTCAGTTAACTGTTTTTTAAGTAGATTCTTTTCTCTTTCAATTAAATACTGCTTTAATCGTAAATCGGACCACATGCAAAGCAAAACTTGTTTGTTTTTTTCAAATTTAACTACGTGGATAAATATTTTTTAGTTTTCAAGAACATAAAAAAACTGCATCCAAAATTTATGTCATACATATTATTCATCGACGAAATTAAGTTACAGTTAGTCTAACGGTAAAGTCTACTATACTATTTTTATATTGTCTTCGCTATTGCAGCGACAAAATATGCTTTTTTTACTCTCTCCAATTGTATGATATTACCAAAACGTTGTATGATTTCAACTACGATTAAATTCCATAATTGTTTCTCTATCTCCAGTATCAGCGATACTCAAAATCACTTTTAAAACAAAACTGACTAGAGTTTTATTATTCAGTTGTTTCACAAATTATACATCAATATTTGTTACCACTTTCGAATATTTGTAAAAGACATGGTCATCTAATAGTACTCTACTGCTAGTCATGAACATCCAAGAAGTGTCAGTAACATCCGATTATATATCTGTAATATTTTACTCTATGCTTAATTTATACATTTGTTTAGTCCACAAGTATGTTAACTTTTATAGGGTATTTATATATATATATATCATCACTTTTTGTGAAATTCACTGAGATAGTGTAGCTCAACATTTGACATACTGATGTAGTGGGTGTCAAAGATGAGAACAACTAAAGATTTTCAGATTTGCGTATAGAGCATAGATAACAATCAGAGATTGGCACGGGCCGGGCCAGTAAGAGATCGGTTCGTGCTGATCTCTGTGTGATTTGCATAGCCATTGTATAGAGTTCATGCAATGTTTCACTTATAGAATCCGTTCTATTCAATCGATTTTCATGACTTTATTTTTATTGTGTTTGTTTTAAATTAGACATACAACTGTGAAAGAATAACACCATTTTCACCTGTCATTTCAAAGAAATGGTTCAAAGAGTAGAAAATACCAGGATTTTAGTTTCACGTATATTCAAAATCTGTTGTTTTAAAACTAACATTTAAATGAATTTGTATATCCGAATTTGAGAAATTTGTAGCCAAGAATTTGAACTTAGAATATTTAATTAAAATTCCATTTGAATAAAATTTTCTACAAAAAAACTTTCACAACACACTTCGGTGACACATACTTCTCGATTTCTATGTTTACTAGCATTAAAATCGAATCTCCTTTAGACTTCGGAGTATCGTCAAAGATAGACAATCACAAGGATAAATTTTTGAGAAAAAAAGTTTTTTTCCGTAGTCTTACCCTAGGGGAACTAGAAGGCTATGATTTTCGAAAATTCTGCGTTTCCGGACACTTTGCCCACTGACATGTTGAAATTTGTTTTTAATATAACACGCGCTGTAAGTAGTTAATCGATTTAAAATTTTTATCTTATTTCAACATCGTTGAGATCAGTCATCAATAAACTTTTCAAGTCTTAAAACCATATCGTTCGAGGAAAAAATGAAAAATACGGAAAAATGTCCTTCGACATTAAAATGATCGTAACTCTATATAACAAACGCTTTGTCTCGGAGAGAAACATCAAACTGCAAATTTAGTTTTGTAAGAACATAGGTTAATTAAGGTTTAACAGATCTCGAGATCTTTCATAGATTGAGTCTAAAAAGTCTTTCTAAATTTTTAATCCTGTACAAACCACTCAAAAGTTACACCATTCGATTTAGCTCGTCAAACTCTATCGATTGGTATTTAATACGATTTTTTTCTCTTCTTTTTACAATTTTTGTGGATCAATCAAATTTTAACTGCGGTTACCTATCCTAAAACATCCTATTAAGTCGATCGAAAATATGTAAGTAAATTTTCATGGAAAAAACATCATCTTATAGTTTAGTTTTATCTTCTAGCCTCTAATTATGTGAGTTGTTTACCTATTGGGACGATCAAAGAGAAGACTCATGTTTGAACAACTATCTTTTATTCTCATAAAACTATTTATTTATCGAAAAAAATATTATTATTATTAAAACTATTTTATGCATGTTAATAAGATAGATTATATTTGATGTTTCGGTTGTTCTTGGAAAATAAGTGAAAAACTAGAGTAATTTATTCATAATTCTAATTTTGTTCCTTTTTAAATGCAAAATAATCGTACATTACATTATCATATAACATTCGATCTGAGAAACAAAGCAATAATAACAAAAAATATCAAACTTTAGCAAAAAATAGTCACCATATGTATAATCTAACAATTTTTATCTGATCAAAAAGAAAAATAGAAATAAATATAAAAATGGTTAGTAGTTAAATAAAATATGATCATTAGCTAAAGTAGTTAGTTATATCATAATATATAAATCTAACAAAAAAAAACAAAATAATATTTAAATAGAAAAACAAAGAGAAGGAAGAAGAAGAAAAAATGTAAGAAAAGAAAAAAAACTTTTAGGTTTAACATAATATCACACTTTAGCATATATCAAAATATTTGACAATATAATGAGAAAGAAAAAAAAATAGAATAGAATATTTTTAACATGAAGGTTATACATAGTGATCCAAGACACAATATAGATTATTAAACTATTTTACTAATTCATTTCTTTTTGGATTAAAAAACAACAATAACAACAACAACAAAAAAATAAATAAATAAATAGTTTAAAAAAGGATACATCTATTTCATTAAATGAAAGAGCAAAATAGACTAACATACACTAAGCAAATTGATACAACTTTAAATCATATTGATTAGCAATAAGAAAATATTGATTATTTTTACCAAAAAAATTCATATTAATCAAAAAATTATTATATTTATGAAAAATTTGTCCATCATTCACTGTTATTACTTGACATTCTTCACCATCATCATTTGCATGAATTAAATAGGATTTATTAGTTAGTCGACAATAACCAATCCATTTATCTTCAAAAATTGGTAGTGAAGTAAGAGTATTAACTCTTAAATGAATATCACGTATAAAATTTAGATCACAATCCACTAATTTTAACCATGAACCCGTTTGTTTATTTAAAACATTAATAATCATTAAATAACCATTTAAATCGAGACGAGATATTCGATTTTTGTAACCATTTAATGAATAATTATCGAAAAATAGCTAAAATATTTAAAGAAAAAACTATTTGAAATTTTTAGAAAAAAAAAATGTATCCAAAAAATATCAACAAACAACTAATTACTATTCTATCAAAAATATTCATGTTATACATGAATTTCATTATATAGTGGTACACGTTAATCATTTGAATTTATTTTCAATTTTACCTGATAATGATTCCATCTTTTTTCTATTTTTCCTGTTATTAAATTCCATCTTTCAATAAACTGATATTTTTCTGAACATCCATCATAATGAACAAATAGATAATCTTTATTACATGTTATAGATTTGATTATATTTGACCAATGAATAGGTTTTATTTTATTTAATTTTAAAAAATAAATTTTAATTGGATCTAATGTTAGTATTGAATGATGAGTGGAAATAAAGAATATAGATAATGATGATGACCATTGTAAATCTATAATTATTTCATCTAACCATTTGAATTCAAATATTTTTTGAAATTCAGAATTAAATAATAATAATTTTTTGAAAATATCAGAATAAATCAAAATTTTATCTGATGATGAAGAAATTAAATGACAATGAGTTTCATTAGAAAATTGATATTGTTTAACAAGTGACAATGTTGAAAAATTAAATGATTCTAAATAATTGGGAGAAAGAAAAAACAAAAAGAAGTGTTTATGAACAATTTTAAATTATAGAAATCATTCATTGATGAAAAACAAAGCAAACAAAGAAATATTGATTCATCATAAATTTCTAGGACGTATACTTCTTAATTACGTATTACTGATTAATCAATCAATTAGTAAAATAATTTAGTTTACACTACTCATCAATATGATCAAGTTGAAAAACATTAAAAATCTATTTATTCGAAGATATTCATTAAGAAATATCTTATCTACATTTCTTTCACAAACCTTTTATTGATGAAATTCTATTTTGATATATTACTGATAATTTGATTCTATCTAAATACATTTTGGCCATTAAATATTTTAATTCATTTAGATCATCTTGTTCAATTTGAACATTAATTAACATTTGAGATATTTTTTGTTGAATATGTGGATAGTAAATTTGTAAATGTGTTTGTTTTTCATTCATATCATTAATTATATGTTCAAAATGGTGTCGTTGTATTTTTTGATGTTCATAAAGATGTTCTAGACATAGTGGAAATTGACAGTGAGGACAATGAGAATAAACACAATTTAAACATTCATCTGATTGTTGTTCGTCATCATTTGGATAGTAAAATAAATGCAAATAATGAGCACATTTAATTTCTTCGATATCTAAATCATCATCACCATCAGATAATGGTTCAACGGGAGAGGATGATAAAAACATTGTTCAATTTTCAATTAACAGTTAAATCTAGAAATATAAATGATATTTATAATTATTTATATTGTACAAAAGGGGGAAAAAATTAATATAAGATGTTGAAGTGAAGCTCAACCAATCTACATAGCCAATTTTCTTTTCGCGACTAACGACATATAAAGATTAACATAAAAAATTAAGATATAATTGACATTACAGTACTGTAAAAAAAAAGAAAAGCAAACATATATTCACGATTAAAAACTTTTATTGTTTTAAACAAACAAAGATAACAAAATAACAAATATAAAAACGAATAAAAGAAGTTTATATGATAATTATAAATAATATTAGTGTTAAAACGTTAAACTGGTTTATAATCGAATTTTGTTTCTAATTTTTTATTTTCTGACACTTTGCGTACAGCTTTCATAAAATCTTCTTCCATCACATAATCACGTTCAGTACGAATAGCAAACATACCTAAAAATCGAGTACAATTAATAAAAGATATCGACATTACTTTCATATTTTTATTGAAAAAGTATAAAAAGATGTTATTTAAACATTTAAAATGAACAAATACACTACTCACCAGCTTCCGTACAAACATTTCTCATATCGGCACCGTTAAAACCATCCGATAATTTAACAATTGCTTCATAATCTAAATAACGAACAATAGAAACAGAAAAAATGAAAGTTAATTTTTTAATAGTTTTGCTTCTTACCCAAATCTCCACGTTTTGCAATAGGTGAAGCATGAATTTTCAATATATCAAGACGAGCTTGTTCATTGGGTAATGGAATTTCTAGATGAAAACAAAAACAGTAAAAGATTAATCGCTTTTAACAGTTTAACCAAAAAAAACGATTATGTGGTAGCCTATTGCTACCTGGCTTCGTAACGGTTCTTTCAAAAAAAAATAGGAACATTAAAAGTTTTTAAGAGGAACGTTGTTTAAAAAAGAGGAAAAGAGAAGGCATCTTTTGGGCCAAAAAACGGTACTGGCAATGTTGTGTACACGTCAGAGCAGCTTAAGGCTCTCAAAGAAAAGATTTCATCCTACGTTAAAATATTGTTTTCCGTGTTTCACGAGTAAAACACTAAGAAAAACACGGCAAAAAGGAGTTATTCTAGTTTAATACAGAAACGTATCTGACTGTTCAAATACCATCCTTAACTGTTAAACTAATCTAAAAACAAATTCTCTCTATTGAACATTCTTATTATTATTTATTTGTTAATTGTTGTTGAGATAATTTCTATTTTTTATTTGACTATTCAACTGTGTGATAAAGTTACGGCTGTATGAGGCGAAGATGTCGGAGAAACGAATGTGATATTTTCTTTCAACTCTCTGATTTTTCCACGATGTTTATCTTTCTTCATATGCTGAACTATCGACTGCCATCCTTTGTTCCCACAATCTAATTCGCCCGTTTTGCACAATGTATATGCGAATGCTGATTCCATAGTACCTTGCTTTAGCCATCATCTCACATGGCCTTCATCTACTGTTTTCTGTAACTACGAGTGACTGAATTTTGTTTCATATGACGGCATTGATAAAAAAACATATCTGAAACTACTTTTAGATCTAAAAATAGCGTGAATTCTGGTATTTTTGCTAAAAAATCACAGAAAAAGAGGAGCATTACGAACCCAGATTGCTACTATTTTTGAAGTGTTCTAAGAGTATTGTGCAAATTTTCAGTTGAACGCAATACCATTTAATGAAGATAGGACGTATTCTACCAGAAAATAAACACTTTTACAATTTCATTTTTGTTCGAAGTGGAAAAAAGATAAATTCTGCATCAATATTACTGAAACACACCCTTACCAATTTTTCTATCTAATCTTCCGGGTCTCATTAAAGCCGGATCTAATGTATCTGGTCGATTAGTTGCCATAATCATTTTGACTTTACCCAATGTATCGAAACCATCCATCTGATTCAAAAGCTAAGCAAATAAAAGAGTTTTACAAAACAACCGATACTTTTTATTGACAAAAACTCACTTCCATTAATGTACGTTGGATTTCACGGTCAGCTGATGTGCCTTCAGAAAATCTTCGTCCTCCTAGAACAAATACATCACATAAATTAACTATTTTTGACAAGATTTAAAGCAGGTTACCGATGGCATCGATTTCGTCCATAAATATAATACAAGGTTGATGATCTTTTGCATAGGCAAACATTTCACGTATCATTCGAGCACTTTCACCAATGTACTTATCCACTATGGCACTAGACACAACCTAAAACAAGTTTTAATAGTTATAAATTTCAAGCTACACCTGACACACTTCGTTAGTTTCAGATATATTGAATGTCGTCAGAAACATAATTTGTCATCAGTAACAAAACAGGTAAAAGGTGTTGTTAGAACATCATCCGACATTTTCATCATATTTATCATAGATTAAAACAACTTGTAAAGAAATAGTTTTAGTACGTACTTTAAGAAAATTACAATCTAGTTGACTAGCAACAGCTCGTGCTAATAATGTTTTTCCAGTGCCTATAATAAAAACAACAGTAAGCAAGAAAATGATAAGTAATAAGTATATGAAAATATACCGGGTGGTCCATATAATAAACATCCTTTGGGTGGTATGATTCCAACACGTTGAAATAATTCTGGATTTGTCAATGGCAATTCGACGACCTAAATAATGTTTATTCAATCAAGCAAGTTGATAATTCGACAATGTCTACATACTTCTCTCAATTCTCTAATTTGTTCTGATAAACCACCGACTTCTGAATAGGATACGTTACCTGGATCTTCATGCGACATATTGTAAACTAACGGATCTACTTCACGAGGCAAATATCTAAATAAATTAAGAAAAAAAAAGAATATGGCTATCAAAAACAAATAACAGTATTGCTTCATATTTATTATCATTCAAAACAATTCTTACCTCATAATTGTTAATGTTGTCATATCTAACGCCACTCTAGTACCAGGTCGTAATTTAACTTTATTTAATTGACGTCGACAACCAACAACATAACGCGGACCATTGGTGGCTTTAACAATAACTAAAACGAGAAAATAGAATAATAAACAAGATTAATTTCAATACAAAAACAGATTTTTTTGAAAATGTCTCTTTCACTTATTGATTCATCAACACGATGTGAGTTGAGCAAACTGGCACAATTTGATTCATGTAGAAAGTACCGGTCATTTTCTGTCTTGCTTCATTAAGGATGAAAATAACTTACATACGAACGGGTTGATTACTTCTTATTAAAAAATGAATTCTTCTATTTCCATCTGTTCGATATTCATCTGGTTTCGTGCGAATCCCAAATGAGAATATGAGAGTTAAACCTTTTACTTACATTTTTCCTCGGTTAGTTGTTTTAATACTTCACCAACAATCTGGAAAGAAACATTAATCTTTATAGACCACGTATTGACCTTCCATTTCAAAAACTTACTTGCCCAACGCTTTGCAATGCTTTTAGATCATTTTCACTTTTATCAAACTCTTTTGTTAACGAACGAAGATCTTCACGCACTAAAGATAAAAATATAAACTTATAGTACTTGTTTGGCATATGAAAGACATTTCTAGTACTTTGTTTTAATCTTGCTTCAATTTCTTTATGTTCCATAATTCTTTTTCGAAAATCTTCCAGAGCTTTTTCACGTGGATTTATTATTGTAGCCGCCAACGGACCAGCTGCCGGCGTCGTAATCGATGTAACCATCTTTTTCTTGTCAATTATATACTATAGAAACAAATATCTAGAATAGAAGTAAACAAATCAACGTTTCTTATGGCATTTTTCCACGGTGAGGCTTTACACCTTCCAACAAACTAGTACAAATTTTTTTCGAAAAGTCGTTGAAAGAGAAATTTTTCCGTTGTCTCGGAGCTATACTTTTATTCTTCTCAGTTTTGTAGATTGAATGGAGTCCGTTTTCCCTCCTTCAGCATAGGAACAGAGACAGAAAGAAAATTCATTTTTGTTCCATATGAAAGAAAAAGAGCATCTGACAACTGTTAGACGGGAATAAAACAAAGGCATAAAAATAAATGATTGTACCAGACCCCGCCATATACAGCACGATTTTTATGCCTGTTCGGCCACAAATTAATTTATGACTGTTCATAAGGGAACAACAAAGCAGAGCTGAGCAAGTCAAGTCAAAAATGCCTCAAGTACAAGTCAAGTCTAACTTGACTTGGTCCAAAATCAGGAGACCGTATCACAAAAAAGCTTAAGTCTGACTTAAGGCAAAATTTGGGCTTAAGTCTTCGTTATGTGCACTTACATGTTAATCTTATACACTTAAGTCTAGACTTTGACTTAAGTTTTTTCGTGATACGACCCCCAGGAGTGTAACCGGTATCAAAAATGCGATACCGGTACCGGCTTGTCGTGATCATATTTTGCCTAAATACAAATACATTTCCCTTATTTTTCTTTACTGTGAACTTTATTTTATGTTATCAAAGGGATAGATTAATCTTTTCACTTTGATTATGTATAGCTAGCTCATTTTTCACACGCTTTTTTTTAACGAAAACAGCAATCCAATTCAATCTTTTAAATTAAGAAGTTTATATAAGCCGAAAAAGCTTAAGTAATTTGAATGAAATATGTCACAGATGAATTGAATTTACATGATGTTCTTCGAAAAAATTGGTATCATACCGCAAAATACCAGCAATATCGGCCGACATACGTACTAATGCCGCTACACCGGTCGGCGTTATAATTCGTACCGGTACCGGTTGCACCTCTATCCAAAATCTTTTGGGGTATCCCGTTTCTAATATGAGATTTTCGTTTAAATTAGACTTTTTCTACCATGAAAGAGAGTTTCTGAGACTATAAAAACTCTGTCACCCCCCAAAAAGGTGCTAGCAAATTTTATGTTCTGCCTAATTTTAACAAGACTTGACATGACTTGAAAGAAAAAAAATTTCGACCTCGACTTGACTTGCCCAGCTCTGCAACAGAGTGAGGGCTAATAGCTGCCAGATTAGTGTCATATCATATCTAATATAAGAAACCAATTTCCACAAACATTACAGCTGGTATTCCCCATACAGCTATGATGTTCGCCGTAGTAACATTATAGCTAGTGTTCCTCATACCGATTTGGTGTTCCCCTAATAGCAAAAGATCGAGTAAAAAATGTAGTTCAATGTTTTAATCGCAAAAAATTGAGTGTTTATGGGGGGTCAAGTAATAACGAAAATTTTAAGAACAATACGTGGCTCAACGTTATTAGATAGCCATTTAAACGAGTTCTAGTACCGCTTGGATCACAGGGACATGTTTCCCTCAATTCTAACGGATGTTCGACGATTTCGTATGTAATGTTTTTATTTGTATTTTGTTTTTTCATTTTCTGTTTTCGCAATGTTCTTTTTCGTTATTTTTGCGACTAAAACATTAAACTACATATATTATCTTACGTCTATAGCTTTTATACCTAGCGTATCACTGTAAAAGAAACTGACATAAAATCCGTGGCAAAGTCACATTTAAAATGTTGTTTTTTCGGGATGTTACACTTTTGTCGTTGGCTTCCACTTCTTTAACCTTGAATGGAATGGCTTTATCGTGACATCAGGATAAAACAGAGATGGGCGAGTCACCACTTTTTCGAGTATAAGTCGAGTCCGAGTCAGTAGCCTTCGAGTCGGGGTTCGAGTCCGAGTTACATCTAAACTCGAGTCACCTTGAGTCATTTTCTACAGGAAAAACTTCCTCCTGACTCATTTTCCAAGAACAGTTCTTCAATCCTCTCCTGTGACGCGATGTTCTAATTAGAATATTCTCAAATCTCTCTCTCTCTCTTTTCTTGTACATAACAAATATAATAAACATCGTCATAACAATCCTAAGTTGCACATGGCTGACTCGTAAGTGACTTGAGTCAGTTTATCAAGTTTATCGAGTCTTTCACTTCGAGTCCGAGTGAAAGACAAATGCGACGCCCATCTCTGAGATAAAACGTTGTTTTCAATGTTTTTGCCGTGAACTTTTGCAGTCACATTTTTTCTGTCGCATCACAATGTTTTTTTCGTTTCAAACCACAGATTTTCAGCGTCATCACAAATGCTAGACCGTGTTCTAATGATTGGTGGTCCCTGCGAAAGCAAAGCGAACTTCGATTTTGTAAAAGTCGTTTTCCACTCTGTTTTTCACTTGTAAAATGAAGAAAACCACTCTACAGACCACTTCGCTTTTTTCGGATCAGGAGTAATTTTGCCGTGATGATTAATCTTATTGGCTTAATCCCTTTTATCACATAGAGGTACAACTGTCTGTTTATCCGTCCGTCAGACAAACGACCTGGTTTATGGTAGTTTTAAGCAAATACTAGAATATCACATTACTTAATAAATTGCATAACGGGCATTTCCGTTGTTTCAGATAAAAACATTTAGCCATGAAAAGTCATTAGCCTTATCAATAACGGCGATTTTTACTTCTTCTTTATCGTTGTTGTTCTGTGTTCCTTATTTTATGAACTATGCAGAAGAAATTAAAGAAAAATTGTTCTCTATATCGCTTTTGCTCTGAGAAAGTTCAAGACTGGACCTAGCTGACGCCAAGATCACTGAAGTGGTCTAGATTTTTATTTATTTTCTATAAGCTTCCTTAACTTTAATAAAGTGTACAGTAAAAGTAAAATAAAAGTTATCTGGCAGCAACGGTTAAATTTCCTTAACATTTTCTAAAACATACAATCACTGTAAATTTGAAAAACAGAAAAGTCCGTGATTTGTTCATCTACTTTTCTCTGAATCAGCTACTAAAGTTCGTTCCATCATTGAGTAAGGTCCGTGAAGTATGTAATCACGGGCTTTTCAACCCGGAAGTTGCCAGTCAGCTCTGTAATTTTTCATGTACTTTAACCCATATTTTCACGGATGCCACTGGCAGCTTCCGGGTTGAAAAGCCTGTGATTACAACTTCATGAACCTTACTCAATGATGGAACAAACTTCTGTATGTGATTCACAGAAAAGTAGGTGAACAAATCACGGACTTTTCTATTTTTTTTAAATTTAGAGTGATCGTATGTTTTAGAAAATGTTAAGGAAATTTAACCGTTGCTGCCAGATAGCTTTTATTTTACTTTTACTGTACAATTTATTAAAGTTAAGGAAGCTTATAGAAAACGAATAAAAGAATAAAAGTTCACAGTAATAAAATATAAAAATAAAATCTAGACCACTTCAGTGATCTTGACGTCAGCTTTTTACAGTGATTAGATATGCAGACCGAGTAAACGACGTGAATGATGATCATAATAATAATGATATAAATACAGGCTTACAGATCTTCACAGCCAATACAAAAGCGGACGATGGGCTCGCCGCGGTAGTGACCATATGAAATATTTTTCGCATCTACATTACCGGGATTTTTATTTCATGAATCTATACGTTTTAGAATAGTATATGAAAAAAAGGCACTATAATGCCGTAGATGTCGCTCGAGCTATAAAGTTTGAATAGTTTACGAAAATTAATAAGACTGTTGTGTTTAACAGTGAGCGATAAGTTCATGAATAGTTATGAATTAAGATGAAGCTAAACTGTCTATTCTGTACACTGTCACAAAAGTTACGGTACAATTACAGCAGTTTAATGTGAAAATCTTACTGGGTACTTACATTCAGATCCGCCCACCGTTATACGACCTCACAGCCGCGAAGATTCCAATCCAAGGACTTTTAATGCGACCGGGATCAGGTTTCTTTGAAAATAGTCTTATATGGAGCATAAAAGTTTCTTGGTTTGTGTGCTTGGTTGTACGTAGGCACCAGTTCTGCGAAAATTCTGAGAAAATTCAAAAAGTCTTCAATTAATACCACCAACGCATGATGTTCTACGAGCCACATTATAATGCGCTGACTTTCAAACTATCAGCGCTACTTTGAAAAAGTATTTACAGGATCACGGGACCAAAAGTTTTTTCTTCATGGGACCGGGACCAAAACAGTTTGGTTCCGCAGACCTCTAGATGGTAGATGTGATAAATAATTTACGGAATATGAAGTATAATACGACGAATACTGCCAGATTTTTAAAAAGATCCACTTTTTGATTGTCGTTTATTTCAAGTTTTCGATGAATGACTCTCACCATCGTCAGGAAAACAAAAGTGACAAAAAGAAGAAATGAATTAATACTTATAAAAGTGATAAATGTGACAAAACTTATATAAAGAAAGAAATCGGTGTACATCAAGAGCATGACAAAAAGTAACTAATTCATTTACAGCATGTAAAACTACTTTTTAAACATCAGAATTGATAAAAATGCAAGAATCGTCACTGTTGCCATCTTCTAGATAGAATTCCAAATTGAAAAATAAATGCTTTTCGTATGTTGTTTTGATCCTCATCAAGTGTACTTACATATCATCAGGTACTTGTTGTTTGTTTACAGAATAGCTAGAGATACTACGTATTAGTAAAAAAGAGGTTAAAAAATCAAGTTGTGTGAAAATGAAAATGATGTAGAAAACAGATCGTTTGTTTAGACAAAAAAAGAAAAGAAGGAATGTGTAAAAAAATATCCTAAAACTGTCAAATTCACATAAAAAAGATCTTACAAAGACAAATAGGATTAGATATTTTTCAAAAGATACTTGACAATACCATCTATCAGTGTATGAGCTGCTTTCAAATGAAATGGTCCATGGAGAAAATTCAATGCTCCATGAAATACGTTTTCATGGTGATCATGTACAACTTCGACACCCAATTGTTCTAAACGTTTTGCATAAATAAAAGCTTCATCTCTTAATTTATCATGACCAACAGATAATATATACGTTAGTGGTAATTTCTTTAAATATTTATCTTCTACTAACAATGGTGAAATGTCTTTTGACAAAACTTGTTTTGCTTCATCATATAACTCTTTACTACCATAGTCAGGTTTTAACGGTTTTCGTCCATCAAGAAAGTTGTCTGGTAGTAGTGACCAATCGACATATTTGGCAAATTGTTTTTTTATTTTTGGTGTTGTATGATTATTAGCCATAATATCTGAACTTATAGTTGTATTTAAATACAGTGATAGAATTTCAGCTGTTGAACCAAAATGAAATAGTGTTAATGTACTACGCATATATGATGGTAACATAAAATCGAAAAATTGAATAACAGGATATATTAAAACTTGAGATTTTGGAGAATAACCATCATCAATGAAACGTTGAGTTAGCACAGCTGCAAAGTTACCCCCTAAAATACATCAATAAACCTGCAATATTGTTAATACAAACTGTTTGTCTAACAATACAAACATTATGTGACTAAACTATGCTACTTTTCAACAACTTCGTCTTATTTTGTTTTCATTTGTACAAACAATTTTAAATACTATGAGTGACTAATTGGTTTTGACAAAATTAATATCATTAGAAATTTTGCGTCCGTTTTCTGTTCGGTGAATTATCTATGGCATGTTAATTACTCACCAGCTGAATCTCCAGCTAAAACAATTCGATTTTCATCAATATGATATTTTTTTGCGTGATTAAACACGTATTTTGTCACTTTATGACAATCGTCTAAACCACTAGGAAATGGATGTTCGGGTGCAAGACGATAACTAAAATAACAAAAACGATCAATATTAGTTAGTCTACGATAGATAATTCTAATATTTTATAAACCTACGCAACCGAGATGACGATAAAATTTGTCAATCGAGCCAATGTACTTGTTATACCGTTGTGAGTGTCTAAAAAATATGCACATAAAATAGCACATACGGTAAAATTGATTGGAATGAATCACACAAATTATGAAGAATAGTTCAGACTAGCATTTACCCACAGATCCCATGTAGAACGCTCCTCCATGATAGTAGATAATAGCTGGATGTAATGATTTATCGTTTTTAGCAATCACATTTGAACGATATATCCTTACAGGAATATGATCGATTTTTGTATCTTCAACCTAAAAAAATTCAAGAAGATATATCGTTTCGTCGTTCCTTTAAATCTAGCATTCACCTGTACACCCTCATTTTCTATATTATAATTTCTGAATAAATTGCCGCACTTTCTTAATATATCTCGTTTTGTGGTTATACCAAACTTTTCACCCACGGTGCCCTACGATAAACGATGCTCGGTAATGAAATCAGTAGAAGTTGATTGATATTCAAAACACTTACAATAAAATTAATAATTTTCATTGATGCACTTAAAGGTCGAATCTTTTTCATTTCATCAACGCCTTGACTATGAGGTACATGGTACAAATAAGCAAATATAGTAGCAAATATTCCCATGAAAATAGCAAATTTTTGTAGCGAACGAGCCATGAGGGCTTACTTTTTAAAAAATCTAAAATAGAAGATGAGTAGTTGAAAAAACATGCATAAAAATAAAATAACGAGAAGTACAAGCATAATAAATGGTGAAGTTCTCGAAAAATACGCATGTTGCATTAGAAATTTGGTCTAGATAAAGGCTGAACTACCGGATGGCCCAGAATAGATGGCCCTCCTCGTATTTTTCTTTTCAACGAGGACATTTCAACGAAACGGGAACGTTTCAAAATATATTCCGGTCGGTCACCATTCCTCTATTCCGTAGCTCCTCTATTCTTCTATTCTGCTTTTCTCTATTCCCTAATTATCCCTCTATTATAGAACATTTCACTGTACATTAGTTTTGATGCATATAGTTTATATATATCGGGTTTGATTTTCTTTGCTAATTGTTTTTACTTCTTCAGAAACAACTAACTACCAAGTTTCGAGAGATTATTCATTTAACAAGCTATCAAATAACATATTTAAAGCAAAAAGAGAACATCTCTTTTATAGTTCATTCAACTGTCATACTATTTATTAGGCCTTTTAGAATACAATATTTTTTTAAATATAACGAAGAACTACAGTATCATGTGTTTTTTTTTTCTTTATAAACGTAAAGATTTAGACAAAACGAACTTTGGACAGATCTAAAACTTAGGGCTAATATCTCCAGGGTAAAATAGAAGAATTTCATTTTAATAATCTAGTACGCAGTCGACAACATTTTTATTTATAGTATCTTTAAATTTTTGAATGTTCTTCTAGTAATATTTTTTATTAAATTGTCTTTATTCGACCACATCTTTTATTTGGTAATGCTTTACATTGAATAGGGAGCACGTCAGAATTTAAATTCTAATTTATTCTATTTCGTATAATTTCGGTTCCTTTGATTGTATTGTGAGTACATACATCGGCATATATACACTTCATGTATTCATTTCTTTAAACCGACACCTTTATACGAGCAGTCATTTTTCTGTTTACAGAACAAAATCGAAAACGAACAAATTTCATATTTCATCAAATGTTCATCTATTATATATTCAAGGAGAAGTGTACTCATGGCTATGAATATCGTTGATTATCGTCTGAACAAGCAACTTTTTCCTTCCGCGACTTTCAGAGACTTCGTTTGCTTGTTTCGAAAACGTCCGTTTTTCTTGTAGGAATGATAAAAATTCTTCCGGAGGTGCCGTTCGATCTTCTTTTATAACTAAAGTTCTGGCGGAAGCGCGTAAAATTCGTCTCGACATCTTAAGGAGAATTTACTTTTCCAAGAGAACTTCGGCCATTCGCAGAAGAGTTTTGGCTGCTTCCACGAGACTTGTGCTCTACCAGCGAAGAAATTTAGTTATAGAAGAAGACGACAGAACGTCATCTCCACGACACGAGATGTTTAGTTATAAAAGATATAACATCCATCTCCACGAGAATGTTAGACATTCCCAGAGGAATTTTACGCGCTTTTACGCGCATTTTACGCTAATAGGGGAACTGCGGAATAGAGGAATAGCAACCGATCGACCGACCAGAATATATTTCGAAATGTTCCCTAAGTGATTATTAAAAAATCTAACATTCCAAAATTCACCGCAAAGTGACCAAAATCTGCTATTGTTCAGTAGGTAGCTTTATAAAGAAAGCCGCTGAACCTGGCACAAGTGTCATTTCTCATCAAAACAGAAAAAGACCGAGCTAAAAAGGTGCTATTTTGGCTTCGCTATGCAGCATTTTTCAGGAGCTACAAATAGCTGGATTTTGCAAAGCTTCAACGAGGAGAAAATCAATGTAAACCTCAAAGATTGATTTTGCATTTGTGCACCGAATACTGGTTGATAGAGCTTTCCAAGGGCTATAAAATGCGTACGTATATTCTCTTCTTTTTATTATCCAGTTCAACGAAAGTGGTTGAACAAAACGTTTTTTCGCCTTAGAAAGTTGGCTTGTTTCATTATGTTGAGGATTCTTCAACTAATTTTTCTTCTTAACTTTTTATAGAAATAAGTTTGATCAAACCTTGTAGAGAATTTGACGGTGCATCTTTTGCAAAAACAATCAGGTCTAAGGATTGAAAAGACAAAAACATTATAAGCAAAATACGAAGAGGATCATTTATTCTGGATCACATGATAAACATAAACCCTTTCGGTTCTTTAGAGTTTTAAAGAGTACTCTTTCTTTTAGCTGATTCAAGAAAATTTTAAAATGAGCACAAGTAGAATTTCCGAAAACAGTGGTTTTTGACATAGAGTGTTTGATGAAATAATTTTTGTAGAGAAGTCCTTTGCCTTAAAATATATCTCAAATAAACGATTCGATTTACAACTGTACGGGCTATAGTTTGAAGAAATAAAAACGGTCTTCCACCACCAAAGATCGGATTTTAAATCAAGTTTTAAATTCAAATTTCAACTTTTTTCAAATTCAAAATATTCTGGCTCAGGAAGGTTCCTAAGCACTTCAAGACACATCATCTGGTAGAGTTCGAAAAACTGAACAAAATTAGCTAGTTGGCGAAGTTTGAAAAAGATTTGCAGTAAATCTCTAGGAGGTTATTGGAAAATGTCTGCGAAAGTTTTTATTTAAATTTCAGTTTTTCGCCTCATTCAAGTACTTAATAACAGAAATGAGATCATATTCGGGTACAGCGTTAAAAATCGAATCGACTGACATAGTTTTCACAAGTTTCCTAAAACATTTGTTCCAGTAAAGAATTAGAGGAAAAGCACTCTTAGACACAAGTCCTTTGGCCTGTCCACGTAACGCGTGATTCCGTCACGATTTTTGTTGTTTTGCGAGTCTCTTGGCGTTCGAACAAAAGGAAACTAAGAAATTGTTTACATCTAGTCTTATAGAGAAAAGTGAGCTGAACAAAATGTGATATTTTTCGTTTTCGCAGGATGTCCTGGTCGTCAAGTACAACAAAACTTTTACGAGCCCCAATCTAAAGTCTGCCAAACCGGGGCTCGTAAAACTTTTGTTATATTTGAGAACCACGACACTCTTCGGAAACAGAAAATATCACATTTTGTTCAGCTCACTTTTCTCTACAAGGCTAGATGTAAACGGTCCTTGAGTTTCCTTTTGTTCGAGCGCCAAGAGGCTCGCAAAACAACAAAAATTGTGACGGAATCACGAAAAGGCGACCGTTACGTGGATAGGCCGCCTTCGGAAAAATAAAATTGACGAGAACTCATTGGTAACCTTGTAGCGACGTCTAACCTCAATTGGGACTGTATAATGGTTATCAATAAAGTATCTTGTATAGTAAAAAATGCTTCTATCAGAACTTTTATCTTTTCGAAGGGAACTTGTGCTAAGGGTGCCTTTGCTCTAATTTTTTACTGAAACAAATGTTTTAGGAAACTTGTGAAAACTATGTCAGTCGATTCGATTTTTAACGCTGTACCCGAATATGATCTCAGTTCTGTTATTAAGTACTTGAATGAGGCGAAAAACTAATCGTTCTGTTATTTATTTAATGTGTTTCATCATAATATTAATTATAATATTGATTATTATTCTCGGAAGAGTTTTACGAGACTCATAACGAGCATTAATTTCTCACTGTATCCACAAAGGATTTGATATACTGTTTCACCATTCCTTAAATATCGTCTTAAACCTTTCGGCATACGTAATCATCTTATATAAGTTTATTGTTAATGCATTCTAAGTCCTGCTAACCCCTCTGACTAGTGATAATAACGTGCTCAAAGTAATGTAATATCAATCCAGGATCTTGAAGTGTGACCATATTTTTCCTTTCCTATTGGCGAATAAACACACTGATCGTTTTATCAAATAGACAGTAAGCATTTCCTAAAAGGTCTACATACAGTTTGTTAAAAGAAATGATACCATACAGTTCAAGAGAAAAAACATGAAATTTCTTGAATAGTACCTCCACTTACTTGACAAACATTATACTTAGTAGAATTGCCAGGTCATCGCACATCACGTGAGACATTCTCCATTTTTTGTATTATTCCTGTAAAATCTTTAGCTTTTTCCAATGTTTGAAACGAGCTAAAAGGTCAACTCAACTGCATGAGAGAAAAAATTTAATTTCGCATAATTTAAAAGTGACTTGCGAAATGATTAGTACATGATTCTTTAAAACTTTTCTCTTACCTCTTAAATTTGGTTTAATGCTGTTAAATATTTGTTTTGCTCCATTTAATACGGCATAAATACAATCATTCAAAATAATTATAAATATTTGAGATTTTCCATTATTTTTGTATGGTTTATACAAATGTAACGTCTGGTGTCCTTGTTCGTTCACCCGATCAAAATTCAACATTATATTCAAATTAACTGCGTTGCATTTGTGCTTTATTATCAACAGATGCAATGATTCACGGGCATCGAACAAACTGGCACAGTTACCCGTCTAAAAAGTAAATCAAGCTGACATTAGCCACGTAATTCCCCACGAAAAAATACTCCAACTTTCTGGAACATTTTTGTTTGAATAAATAATTATGAAAATAACTCCAACTTATGCATATCGCTGGTGAAACTTTAACATTTGTAATAATCTAAAATGGAGGTAAAAATCAGTTAAAAACAAAGAAAATAGAAAGGCAAAATATTTCAGTTATTTGTAATTAGATGTTTGTATTATAAATACACACTATAAATCCACCAACAAAAATGTTCTTAAGTTTTTCTTATAATGAAATTAATGATTCAATTTATCTCCGAGCAATCAAAAGGTATCTGTTATAATCTCATTTTCGTACAGCTAGATCACAACAGCACAAACAGCATTTAAAAATTAGCTAGTTTTCATTTTAACAAAAAATAGTGCATTATTATACTAGACGCGTATCTGTATTGTTTGAAGTGTTAGATGTCATTGATAGATCAACATCTACACTAAACACGTAAGGATAGTTACTGTTTATTGGTGTAAATCAATGTATCATCATTTGTCAGATGCTGATATATTTCTCGAGGTTTTTTCAACAAATTCTTTCGATTTTTGCGTATTC